CCGTCTAATAGTCCATATTAAAATCCTAGGGGTCAACCCCAGGAAAAAATAAGAATGTTTTTTGTTTTTCGCTGGCGCCCAGGAAAATAATACGACGCCCAAAAAATCCCAAAACTTGCTACCAAAAAAAATTAACCCTTGGCACAAGGATTTTAATAAGCATGTTGAAATAACATACCAGCAAAAATGAGGACCACATGGTAGCTCAGGCCCGGAATTTAATAATGCATGTACCCGGAATGTAGTCACGCATGTTTTCCCAGTCTGTGAGTGCTTGCATGGGGTCAAGGTCTAATTTTAATACAAAAGACGCTACTAGGGGCTCCTGGCCTTACTACTAGAGTACTAGGAACAAGAAGCCACTAGGGGCTCCTGGCCTTACTATTTTGGGACTTTGACCGAGGACCCGATGACCCGTTTCGTGTATGGCCGTCGCTTTTTAAGAACATGCATGTCCTTCTATAATCATATCATGGTGCCTCAAAAGTGCCAGGCCAATACTCAACCAGGAAATGACCAGCCGGGCCCCTGAACACACAAGACATGACACAGTGATAAAGTGGTTTATACATGTTTGACATGCACAAGCACACACGTATCACGGACGTTGCATTTCACATTTACTGTATATATATTTTTTAGAATTCGGCAGCCATGGCCGTGATTATGGAAAGCGGTATCTTGGCAAAAGCCATCTATGCGGCGAAGCCTTTTGCAAAAGGCGATGAGATCGGCAGTGCTCCTGAGATGCTTGAATGTTTAAACCATTCATGCACAGCCAACGCAACGGTTGTGAGTGGAGCAATTTGGATGCAACGACACATAAACTTTTGCAGCCTTGTTGGATAGGGACTCTAGTGAATGTTCTACAGCTTTGTAAGTTCTAGGTCCGAAAGGTTGCTCCATTGTTTGGCCTGGGGTGGCTGAAAGGTACTGGTGGCTGAAAAGCAGATCTTGGCCGGCCAGCAGATCACAATCGATTACAAGGCGAGGTCGGGCGGTGGGGCATATTAAAATCTTGTGCTGACATGAATTGAGCACAGGATCTATTTAAATCCTGTGGGAAGGGTGGAAAAGCTGAAAATTTCTCCATAACGCCTCTGTTTTGAATGGTGGAAGCCCTGCATTTGCAGCTCACGGCCCGAAACCCAGAAGCCTGACTTGCGGACACGATCCGGTACGCCTGAAGCCTCGCGACTTGTACATGATGGCCA